AGATAAACAGAATCTATAACACTCTGTAATAGCATCATCTGGTGGCTCCCAGGAATGTTATCAATGCAAAGGTGTGGCAGTGTACATCAATCAGTTCTAAAGAATAGGCAAACAAGTTAAAGAGGTGTGGTGCTCTGTTACAATGGATAATGACAGTACTAGCAACTTCATTATTGTAACAAAGACTGCATCCCACCCAGTTAGGGTACATGATTCAATGCTTCCAATGGGAGGTGTCAAGGAAATACAGAGCTGCTTGGGACTCAATGCCAATAACAATGGGGAAGGAGGGAGAAGGGAAGCAGGAGAAGACAGTGAGAAAAGGGGTAAGGAGAGATGGGAAAGCTAGAGGGAGATACTGTGTAGCAGTTTATTCATTTACTTTAATCTAGCCCTTGTGATATACTTTAGAGCAATTGGGGATAGAATAGCATCCACAGGAAGATCCCCTTAACAGAGACCACTGGAGCACTTAAAAGCTCTTCAGGAGAGAGTGATAGCTTTCTGTCTCTGAAGTGGAAAGCAAGGATCAAAGTAACAATAATCATGCTCATAGCTGCTTGACACTTTCTGAAGATGTCAGGTCTGAAGCTCTGTATTGTCTCAAGAACTAGAGCCCAAAAGGCTTGATAGTCCACAAACCCTAGAGAATTCCCCAGTTCAAACCACAACAGAGGTTTTGTAAGTAAATCAGTGAATCATGGTTCACTAATAGGCATAGAAATGTTTAAACCATCGAGTATCTTCCCCCCTGGGATGCCACACATAACTCCAGAGACATGAGATGATCAAAGCAAACGTCATGAGAAAAAAATAACGTTTTTAACCATTTATTTTACTCTAAAACCAATAAATTATCAGAATATGTGACTACTGGCAAACTCATCGTAATGCTGTCTGAATTGCCATATAGAAATCCAAGTTTATTTCCAAACATAAAAAACCATATTCCCCACGTGTTCTGGTCCTGTTACACTGCTTACACCAGTGGTTATCAACCTTTTTTCATTTGCATATCCCTAAAAAATTTCAAATGGAGGTGCAGACCTCTTTGGAAATTTTGGTCTGCAGACCACAGGTTGAAAACCACTGTTCTATGGTAATGACAAACTTTTGTGGACTCCTTAGACATTGTCTGTGGACCCCCAGGGTCTGCAGACCACAGGTGGAAAACCACTGGCATAGACAACACAACAGGGTCAGAATCTGGCTGCAGCTGCTCTGCTGAGAATTCCACTGGTGTGGATCAGGGGTTCAGCTGATGTAAAACTGGATCCTAAACCAGTCACCTCCCCAAGTCTGGTATCGGAGCATGCCAGCAAAGAGAAAGAGCGGACATGTTGGGAGAGGAGTGCAGCTGTGCTCCACCCTTTCTCAGCTGATATATGATCTCTTAGGACTCATAACCAGCTGGTATAAATTAAAGCATCCCCTAGGCTGTTCAAATGTATATTAGAGCTGGGGCCACAAGCAGCTGTGGCTTGAAAATCATAACTGGCTCCCTGATGGCCAGCACACACTTTTCCCCTGTGCCAAGACAATCTCAGTGCAGGAGATAATCGGGCCTACAGTTGCTCTTTTCCAGGTCTAGCAGGAGCTGTGTAAGTCAGTCCTTTTCGGGAGGGACTGCAAATCAGACATAAACTGTGTGGTTTGCTGTTTGCCTTTCTAATTAAACGAAGACTCACTGGTTCAAATTCTCCCTTAGTTTCATACAGACAGCTCCCATTGATCTTTGGTCAGTCTGGGGGCAGAAGTTGATCCACAGACTTTTCCTTTTACAACACACTGAAGATCTGGCTGTAGAGTTTGAGTCACTTCTCCACTCTAAGAGAATTTTCCAATTAACAGCAATTGCTCATGTGTTGAATGAGTGCAGGACTGGGACCCTCTCTACTAGATAGTAATTCAGCCACTGCACACTCCAAGCTATACTTCTCACTAGTGATGAAATTGCCTCAGACTCATTAAGATACATTTCATATCCTCAGTATATTGTACTTGTGACATATAGGATGCATATAGGAGGATATGTGTAAGCAATAGGGCACAACAGGACGTGTGCATTCACCAGTATAAACACAACCTGGATGTGCTAATGCACAAGTCAGGTCAACACACCCAAAGTGCACATGCATTGGCTGATGAAAACTCATTCTTGAGTGTGTAAGTGAACTCTTCTCAGGGTCATAATTTGTCCTACAGGGGGCAAAGATGCCCCATGGCTAACAGTATGGGGGGCGGGACAGCAGACTGTTTAGGCTGCGCAAGCGGATGAAGAGTGGGCAGTCAAAGGCATGGAGTAGTGAAGCCTTCACTCGACCCACCCTCAGCACCCCAGCCTGTGCAATTCAGTTGGCACAGAGGGGAAGCAATTTGATTCTGGTACTTGAGCAAGTGGGGAACCGTTACCTGAATCGTTATTCTGAGTCACAATTCCTTCCCTGGTCTGTTGTAGGGGCAGCACAGCTACCTGCTGCTACCTCTTACTCAGAGCATATTGTCAGGTCACAGTCTAGCCCAGAATGGCTTATTGAACAAAATAAATAAACTTGACACATTTAAATATAACATGCCAGATCCTCAGCGTGTGCAAATCGACATTGCTCCATTGGCATCAGTGGCTGCATGCCAATTAATTGACTCCAGCTGAGGATTTGGCCCCCTACATTTAGAAAATATTAATCTGCCTAAAAGAGGTTCCAAAACTAAATGGGGTGAACAATAGTGTTGTACAATAACAAAATGAAGTGCAAACTAAAGATAAAAATATTGAGAACAAGTTCCATTGTCTGTGGCTATTGCAGGGGATTTTTAGAAAGTGGAGACACAAGAAAAAAAATCTGCTTTTGTCTAGAGTGTCTATATTTCCACATTAAAACTCCTTTCCATCCATCTCTTCCCTTTGTCTCTTCTCCTTACACTCTCCCCTTTGCTTCGTTCTACTTTCCTTCCACCCTGGCAACGGCATGAGCAGGAACAGTTTTCAGCAGAGAAGCCGCCACAGGTCCTGCTTCCCTCAGCTGAGCAGCAGGAGCTGCTGCGTCTTTGAAGCCCGCTGAGGATGCTGCTGCTAAGGGGAGAATGGGGTGGGGGAATGAAAGCAGAAGGAGACAGTGCTGGAAGGAAGACAGAGAACGAGAGGAGGGGTAGAGAATAAAAGAGAAGCAACGAAAGGAGAAAAAGGGGAAGTAGAGGATGAAACTATTCCTCCAAGATTAGGGCCAAAACCAGCAATCATTTACTGGGCATAGTGCTCGAGGGCCTGATCCTGTAGTCTCTCTTTGGATCAGACCCTGAAGCACTACGCCAGCAGTAAGTGCTTTCAGGAGGACTGAGCCCTTAGGCATTTACTAGTCGCATTCCTCTGGTGCTTTGTGATTTACCTCACCTCTGTTATCACTCAGACAAACCCATGTTCCTGCCATCTTCTAGGAACTTAATCCAAATCAGAATCAATATATTTTCATTTCCTGGAAACCTATAACTACAAATCCCTTTGTCTCTTTTTCTTGATACTAGAATCCCTATATTATTCTATTTAGCGGGGTAATTTTTTAAAAAAAGAATAATAAATCTGACTGTAAGGTTACCACAAACAGTTGGATAGCATGACTGACACATTTCACTACCATGTTTGGTTCACATCCAATGTATATTTACTAATAACTTTCCTATGAATAATGTTAATTCGTGATGCAAAGCCAGTTTTCATTTTATTCAGTAGTGCACAATATATTTTATTTTATAGAAACTAAAACTCATAATTCAACCATCAATTTTGTTTCAGATGGGGAAGTGCAGGTTCGGCATTCTGCGAGCTCTGGTTTAAAGCTTGATGTCTCTAAAAGGACTGGAAATCAGAAACACAGTAACTTGTGGATTTTATGTTTTAGAAAATTAGCACATCCTTGCATTACATAGCAGGCAAACATTGAACAGTGCTTGATCAATAACAGGCATTGCCAGAGGTCTGATATAGTCTGCAACAGCTAACAGTAAGTGTTGCTGTAGGCTATGGAACTAGGAATATAAAATGTTGAATGACAGTAATAATTCATGCAACTTGGGACATAGAAAACCAACAGTATGTCAATAGCTATAGCAAGCACTGCAGAAAATGTGGAGGATTTTGATGCTTCAGGAGCTTGTGTTTTACTTTAAAATGTATTTTTCTTGGTGAAATATATACTTTCCCTAGTCATTAAAAACATTTATTTTTCAGTTGCATGTTGCTACTTCTCCATTAAGATTCTAAAAGATGCGCTGAGAGACTCAGAGATTCAAAAGGCAAAATATATATATTTATTGAAGAAAATCACATAAAACATTTATAAGGCAGGAGTTGCAGAGGATCAGGCTGGCCAAAGCTCATTGAAAATATCTGGGAATCATGGAGCATTTCAGCATTCAGTATAGTTATTGTGGTAATGTATATGGTCCTCTCATTGACTTGAATGGGAGCAAGACCTTGCTATATAGCAGGGGTTCTCAACCTTGTTCTTTCTGAGGCCCCCACAACATTCTATAAAAACTCCATGGTCTACCTGTGCCATAACAACTGGTTTTCTGCATATAAAAGGCAGGGCCGGCATTAAGAGGTAGCAAGCAGGGCAGTTCCCTGGGGTCCCATGCCACACCCCCCCTGCAAAGCTCCATTGCTCAGGCTTCAGCTTCAGCCCTAGGTGGCGGGGCTCAGGGCCCTGGGCTTCAAACCCAAGCGGTGAGGCATCAGCTCCCTGCCCTGGACCCCAACAAGTCTAATGCTGGCCCTGCTTAGCAGACTCCTGAAACCTGCTCGCAGCCTCCCAAGGGTCCCTGAATCCCTGGTTGAGAACCACTGCTATATAGGATACCCATGAGATATCTGGCACTTTCTTAAAACAAAACTCATTACATTCACATTTTATTTTGTTTTGGATCAAGCGAGCACATCATACATGTTTATTCCTTTGTAAAATACATTCTGCATAATTAATATTTCTCCTGTTGTCCATTGTAAAAAGATAACACAGCAGGTAATTTGTTACATCTGGCTGAAGGAAGAAAGAATGAGTCTCTCTGATGTGGTTTCCCCTCTGCACTTCCATTTTATTGCTACTTTGGGAATGAAAAAGTGACTAGTGCTACTTTACTGAATAAGGCTCCCAGAAAAATTCCTCAGATGAATGTTTAATGAGAAAAAAAAAGATGTTCAAACAGGTCCATTCTTATGCATGCAGCTATGTGTTCTAAAACACTTCATCAACAAGTTAGCCATCCTCGATTTTTCTGAATTTGTTGATAGCGACATCTGACTGAATAGGCAGATGAATTACATAACATTCATGATTTTTAAAATATGAATGTGGCCCTTAAAAATACAGGTAATACTTCTTTAACAAAATGTAAAATACTAACCAAAAAATGAAACACATCACAAAGAAACCCACCATACATTATTTAAATCTTCCCCTGTGAGAGACTGAAGACTAGAATGCATACTGAATCCTCTCTTCTTCAACATGAAATGGATCCTTCCATTGCAGGGCTTAAGGTCTTGACTCCCAACCATGCACTCTGGGATTTTTTTTTAAGGATGCATATTCAAATAATAATTAGAATTGCTTAAATATCATTTCTATTTTTACAAGACCATAAAGTGACTTTTATATGCATGGTACAGCACCTACTAAACCAGATATTTCAGTTACAGTGAGACAGAGATGATAAAAGAACAAAAAATTAAGCCCGCTGACTCTTTGAGATATATTAAAAGAATTCTCTCAGTTTTGAGCAGAATGTCTTTGCTCATTTGGTCTTTCAGCTTCGTTTAGGGAGAATACGTTTTACAGTTTTCCCATTGATATTCAGCAAATCTACAGCTTTCACTGCTGCTGATCCTGCTTATCTTTGAATTAAAAATGTCTATAGTATTTACACAGTGCTGAAAAATTACTATTTCAATTTATTGTATTTTCATTGTCTCTCTCCTTGTGACTGGTACAGCTTGCCTGCAACTGAGAGGGCACTTTGAGGCTTACTTTGATGCCATGATTTATTGTATTGCACAATGGAGCCTACTGTTTTCCTTTCTAATCAGAGATGGCATGTTGGGTGAAAAATAAAGCTTTTTATGCCTTTCTTTAATGATCACTATCTCATGTGCTTTGTATTTGTTACGGCTGGTTGGATGCTGAAAAACAGCATTCATAAACATCTATTTGAATTCCAAACTGTTCTTCATTTCCACTGTGGTTTTACCCCTTTGTTCTTCCTTATTCACAAATATACACACGAATGTTAGTGGAGTGGCTGTTCTTTGTATGGATACCAGCATTCATAAGTGAACATGGGGATACCTGCTCAATCAAGAGTACTCATCACTATTCACTCTGCATTAATCATTATTCCCTGGCTTAAAAAGTTTGTCATCCATTCAGGCAGCAGAAGCAAAATCATGTGATTTAGGAGACCACTCACACACCATGAATAGCAAATAGTAAATAGAGGACTCATCCTGCCAGGGAGGATGGGAGGATTCAGGGAGCAGCACAGAGGTTTAGTCCTCTGTGTGAATGCCCCAGCTCAGTGTTTATGCCCTGAACTATGAGATTTCACCATGGATCTTGGGACACTTGTGAGGTTGGAGACCACACTCCCTGTATCTATTCCACAGAAAGGCAAATCTCACTTCATGCCACAATCTCACTGATCATTGCCTGGAAACTTCATGAAAAGATATGTGCAGAATATTTATAATATTAACTAACATTTATATATATACACCCCTTTTCATCCATAGATCTCAAAGTCCTTTCCAAAAGTGGGCATTTTAATCCCCATTGTACTGTTGGGAAAACAAAGGTACTCGGAGGTTAAATGACTTACCCAGGGTTGACACAGCAAGTCAGCTTCAGAGCAAGAGATAGAACTCACATCTCCTGACTTTCAGACAAATGATGTATTGACTAGACCACACTGCCTCTGATTTAGGAGTTCCTGTAACTTCTCCATGGGTTTTTCTATGGGTTTTTTCTTGCTGTGGTCTCCAATGACATTGTTCCCATCGAAAAACTGTTCCTTCATTACTTCTCTCAGCATATTGCTAGGAACAGTGGAGAAAGGTAAAATGTATTATTCATCTCTCCAACTCCTAAAATCAATACCCATCAAAATACAAATACAATTCAAATCAGAGGGCACTTATTGAGCACAGATCCTCATAATTAGATATGATTTCTCAACAATGTCTTAAATTATTTATCCAAGAGATGGATACCAGGCACTCCATAGGCCCCAGAGTGAATATTTTAAGCCTCATGTCATGATGCAGCAAAAGTGAAATGCTGTGCACTGCAACATGATTTGCAATCTTGATAAACTGATGTAACATCGATTCACATCAATCAGTGCCAAAATTCTGTGTCATTATAACATCTAACGAGATATGTTGAAAGCCAATAACCTCATGAAATGAATGGGTGTCAATGAAGGATACAGATTCTGCTGCTAGAAATCAGTTAAAAATGCAATATTCACCTCTGATAGAAGTCACTAAACCACCATCACTAGAATTGAGGTTTATGTCATGCATGGACATTCATCATGAAAGCAGCTCCCCCTAGGGTGGCTGTGGTCTCTGTAAGCAATTCCATTATAAGTTTTTAAGTCTCATTTCTTATGGTGGATATTTCTTAGCCAGTTGCTCAGCCCCCAAACCGTTTCCCCTCCAAATCTTTTATTTACATTTGGCCTTTTTAAAAAATCTAGGCAAGAGAACCAAAGAGGTTTTGTGGTTTTGGAGACTTTAGGTGGTGTTAGAATGTGGAAGAGCTTGCCTATAAAATAAAACATTTATAACTGCCAGTCTATAATGTAGAGTAATGTCTTTCAATATTTAATAAGGATTTATCAAATGCAATTTTCCTTGAAAATATAGTACTCAATGTTAACTGAAAAGTGCAAACATTTGCCACAATAGACCTTAGCGATGTATCATGCCAACAATCCAGGGGTTAGGGATCCCTGCTGCCCGTATATTGACATGATACATAGACATCAATTTCTCTAATATCAGTGATCAAAGGTTCAAAAGAATAGTCTCAACCATTGTTTTATGTATAAACGTTCCTTTTTTGTAAACTATCAAATTTTTAATAAATACCTTACTTGAAATTTGAAAATGTCATGATTTTATCTTTTTTTACTTTGTCTTCATCAGCTGATAACAATCAAAAGTTGTATCCAATTCAGGGCCTAAAAAACCTGATGCGGTCCTTCTAGGTACAGTAAAAGTGGACACTGAAGTACTGATCTATATCACTAGATAATGGCTTCCTGAAAGATCTCTGAAATTTTCAGCCTTAATGTTGTGGTTCCTAGATATAAACTTACAAAATAAATTTTAATGGGCTGCATCCATTCCACACACAACTCAATAACAATTCTGTATGGAGCAGCTATAACATCAAACCCAAAGCATGTAAGAGATTGACTTAAAGCCATTAGAGAAATTCAGAGCTAAGGTTTCTCAGACAGTGCCTCATCCTGAAGTCTTGATGGTGGTCAGACTCCCAGTGAAGCCAATTTGAGTTTGGCCTGAGTCAGTCCTGCAGGAATAGACTCTCTAATTTGATCATGTCAAAGTGTCTGCATATTTCAGTTGTTAAGGTCTGTCTGTGATCTTACTTACTATTCTTCTGGCAGTACTGAGGTAGGACTGTATGAACCGAGGATGCAAGGAGTGGCATTTAAAAGTTCAAGTCAGAATTTTAATGGTATTTTAACCTACTTTATTAGTAAGTAAGAATAGTGGCTGTTAAACTGTGGTCCACAGAATCCTCCTTGGTGGTCTGTACGATGAAACATTTTGAGAACCAAGTAGTGGGGGATTGGGTATGGAGTGTAGAGATAGTCCATAAGCAGATCCGTACATATTGGAGTGGTCAGTGAAATGAAAAAGTTTGAAGACGTAATGAGTTTAAAAAGTATGTACAATTAGGGACAGCATGGAGAATCAGATTGATATCTTAGTTATTTTGATTAACTATTAATTATTCATCAATTCCTATTCTATTATTACAGTTATATAGTACCAACCATGTGCTAGGTGTTTTTCAGGCATGTATGAAGACAAGGTCCCTGCCCCAAGTGTTTAGTGTCTAAACTCTACTACTGTACATCATACTAACCCAGTGGTTCCCAAACTGGGGTTCATTAACCCCCGGGGGTTCACAAAATGTTACAGGGGGTTCTCAGGAAAAAATCCCTGGAAATATTCATTTTTAGGAGGGGGTTCGCGAGACTTGACATTTTAGTGAAAGGGGTTCACAGGTTGTTAAAGTTTGGGAGCCACTGCACTAACCCCTTGTCTACATTGCACTGCAAGTCAGACTACAGGGCAGGGGCAGAGCCCCATGTGGATGCTGCAGGCGCAAACCAAAAGATTCCTAGTTCTCATCAGTGTGGTCTTGTTTGAAGAGGTCTACATGAATATAAACTAGGAATCTTTTAGTTCACTCCTGCAGGGACCACACAGGGGAGTTACACCCAGCACTTTGGTGCACACGGCTATTCATACCCCCATAGTCTGAACTGTAGTAGACAAGCCCTAGTATGCCTTCCTTGAATGAGACAACTTTAATCCCTTCTACATTTTCCTCATCTCCATTTTGTTGTTTTAAATCAAGCATAAATAGTTATAAAGAAAAATCAAACATTGTAACCATGTTTTGTTTTACTTTTGTATTATTGTTCTGCTAGATTTTTTTAAATGCTTTTAAAAGGTGTATAATAATATATTACTTAGTGCACAGGCTGCCTAAATAAACATTTTGGACCAATTTTTCAAATGGAGGGAGACTATGTGCAAATAGCTTTGTGCAAACATGCAACTGCTTTTGTGAGTTCAAATTGCATAGGTAATGGCTGCTTAAGTGATCAAACACATGCCCAGGTACTTGATTTGCGCACACAACAGTGTTAATTGCATTCTCTAATGTGTGTACCATTGCACTAATATTTTTGGTGCACACAAATGGACCTCCACCCTTTGACAATTTAGCCCTATCTGCGTGTTTAGTGTACACTATAGAGCAGCATTCTTCCAAGCTGCTGGCCTACTCACCGCAGATTTTCCATTCACTACAGAATTGTATAAACATTTTATATGTCAGAACCTCCCTTAGAGGTAAGCATGAGATTTTTTGTAATCCTAACTAATATATCTTTTCATCCAAACACTACTAGCTGCTTACATTATAGTTGATGTAACCGAACTAAAGTGAAAATACTAGTTTATAGCTGCAGGTTGGACTCAGAGGTTAAAAGTGAGTATTTAATCTCTATTGCTGTTTAGCATAAAATTTGCACATCAAGGACGTAGTCTGGAGGTGATCCAACGTGGAAGATCCAGACCAAGGGATCATATATGACCTTGAGAAAAAATGACTTATCTTCCATAAAATAAAGAAATGTACCTTTTTCACAGGTTTTCTTTCTACAAACAAGGGTTTATGCAGCCGGCAGACATTGGCTCAACAGATTTCAAAAGCAGGACTTGTGAACAAAAAGGGATTTATTTAGCTGACTACACTTCCAATACAAATTCTTTTGCCTCAACGTATGTATGAATCAAGAAAATGTCTTGCAGAAAAGATCCTGCACCTCAGAGAAAGGAAGGAGGAGGGTTTTAATGACACTTCATGGGTCCCATTAGTGTGGTAGCTCACAATCTTTAATGTTTATATCCTGTAATATGGAAAAGTACTATTATCCCAATTTTTCAGACAGAGAGCTGAGGCTCAGAGAAACTAAGTGACTAGTCCAAGGCCACAAAGAGTGTCTGTCACAGGGTAGAGAATTTAACCCAAATCTGCCAACTCCCAAATTAGCGCTCTCGCTACTTGACCATCTGTGACAGGGTGTATAAACCCCTTGTTGGACCGGAAGGGGTTAAGGAACAGCTGTGGACCAAGGAGGCCCCTTCCCTTTGCTCTTGCTGAGCATGTTTGGGTTGGAGGTGGTGTTTAAAAGCCAGCCAGGCAGCTCAGTTTAGGGTGGGCAAACCAGGGAGGAGGATGTGCCCTGGGAGCTCCTAGAGGAGGACTGGAGCTGAGCCTGTATTGAGCAGGGGAGCCACAGCACCCAACAACTGGGACAAGGACTGAAAGTCCAGAAGGTGACCTTCCACAGAGAAGGGAGGTGACCGGATGGGATATGGATTATGGTAGGAAGTGGCCCAGGGAAGCTGACTGGTGGCTGACACCATACAGAGACAGGTAAGCAGCTGAACCAGGTTGGGCCTGGATTGGAACCCAGTGGAGTGGGAGGTCCAGGTTTCCCTACCCTCTTGCCACTTCAACTGTAGCCACGGGGCAGGAGCCCCTGCAACCTCCAACTCCGATCACACCATCCTTGCCAAATCCATAACTATTAAAGTCTGGAAGCAAACAATTAGTGATCAAGAACATCATACTGATTGTCTCCAGGGGACATGTTCTCCAAGATCCCATGCTAGTAAAAGATAGAGTCCAGGTCCCATATGTCCCTTTTGATAGAACAAGAAAATATGCTCATATGCTTTACAGCAGCACTCAAAAAATGTCCAGCCACTTACCTTTTAGCTGTATACATTAGTCTCTCAGAAACAGAGATTAAACTGATTGTGTATCAGTATTCATAGTGAGAGGCTAAACTGCCACTGTGGCCTGTGAACCTGTTTTATACACCGTGTACAAATTAAGACAAAATTATTATCATTATGACATTTTTTGTGCCGCATTTGAAGTATGTGGCATTGATAGCAGTGAAGAGAAAAGAATACAGCACACCTGGAATGCAGTTGTTCCATCCCATCTTGTTACCTTTGCCAGGTCACAGCTAACCGTTGGCATATAATATTCTGGCAGAAATATCATAAACAACTATCATATGTGTCAATATATTTTCAATCGATAACATGCATGTTACATGCCCACTTCACATTCTTATCAAGAAATACAGGTACCATCCATTGTCTTGCTGGACTACAGGTGTGTCATTGTTGTGAGGCCTTGTAATCCTAATCAAACTTCCATGTGGGAAATGCACTATAGAAGGATTACA